GGGAGCAAGTGGGAGGGGTGCTGTTGCATTGGGGTAAATTGTAGTCAATGTCATGAGACAACGTGTGTGTGAATTGCTATATGGAAAGTGAATTTGCTTTGTAAACTTTCACCCAAATCACAATTTAAAAAAAAAAAAGTCGTGGTGTCAGTAAAGAATATTGCATATACCATGGATTGCCAGAAAAAGTCTTTGAAAAAAATAGGAGAGTGTTCCTTAGAAGCGAGGATGGCCAGCCTTTGGCTCACCTTGGACACATCATCAGGAAAGACCAGTTGTTAGAAAAGGGTGTCAGGTTTGGTAAAGGTCAGTGAAAACGAGAGAAAACCTCAATGAGACAAATTGACACAATGGCCACAACAATGGACTCAAACATACCAGTGGTCCTAGAAATGGCAAAGGACCAGACAGCATTTTACTCTGTTATACATAAGGTCACCATGGGTTGGAGCCAACTCAGTGGCAGCTAACAAGTGCTGGGGGACAATGGGGAGATTTCTTTGATGCTGGCAAATTCCTATTTCTTAACCTACGTAGTGGTCACATGGGTATCAATTTCAGAATCTTTTGGAAAGCTTTTTATTGATGTGGTATGTGCATTTTTCTGCGTGTTATATTTCACAGTGAAAAATGTTTAAAATAACTAGTAAAGAAAGTACAGGGACTGCCAAATGGAATTCTATCCCAACCAAAATCAGTTAGCATGGAGGGAGAGAGGAAGTCAAGGCTCTTTGAGAGGGTTGGCACTGGGTTGGTGGAGCACCAACTGTTGTTTTTCAGAGACTTGGACTTTTCATCTTAATTTGAATTGTGTCTCAACATGTATGCTGGGTGTTCTAAACCTTCATTTTTCTTTTTGGCCAGCTTGAGATGGACAATCAGCACCTGAAAAGCTGCAATCAGCATCTGGTGGGGCAGGTGGCAATCCTTCAAGATGCACTGGAAGGTAGGCAGCCATATGTGCAGGTGTGTGTGTTTCTGTGTTTGGGGTGTGGGAGTGTGCAGCTGAACCAAAGGACCTCTTGACTTTCTTATATGTCTATTTTCACCCCAACCATAGCTCTTCAGGTGGCACCTTCAGGGAAGTTGCTGGTGGCCCCCCAGGAAATCCCAGAGCAGGTTGCTGTCACTTCAGCGCCTGCAACCCAGCCAATGGGGCAGGACAGTGGTCCTCAGACTGAGGGTTCACTGCAGGTGGCTGTGCCTGTACCTTGTCCAGATGCCCTGCAGAACAAGGATTCTGTTCCTGAAGATGGGAGCTACTTGGAGGACTTTGGTTCCAGCCTGGTCCACTCTGGGGAAGGAGCAGAGGCTGAGACTCCTCAAGCTTATGTGGGAAGAGAGGGCTTTCCCGCTCAGCTGTGCATGAAGCATCATCCCCCCAGATATGGTTCTGCTTCCTGGGGTGAAGGCCCAGGTGGTGTTCAGGGAGGGATTCTCCCTGGGACAAAGATTTCCACCAGAGAAGGTGGCCCTGGCAGCAGCCTGACCCTTCCAAAGGCACGGGCTCCTGGCACCCCCCGGGACAGTATCCAGCTGGCCAAGCGGCACCACAGTCAACCCCAGGTGGGCCCTGGGCACTTTAACCACGTGGTGAGCATTGAGATTGGAGCCCTCCACCCCTCCAGCCTCCTTGAGGTGAAGACTCAAGCTGAGCTCCAGGAGGAACCAGAGAAGATGGAGATGGAGGAGCCAACCTCAGCAGGGAAGAAGGAGAGTGGAGAAAGCCCAAAAGTCCCTAGAGCTGACCTGAAAGAGGCGGAGCCAGGACACAAACCGCCCACACCACCCCTGCACCGGTTTCCATCCTGGGTAAGAGGGACCCTCAGGGCTGGACAGAGCTAGCACTGCAGATGCTGTTCATTGAGTATGTCCATTTACTGAGCTTGCAGCGTGGCTGATGTTCTCACATGGCCCTGGGAGGCCAGTGCCACAGAGCTTACCTAGACCACACATACCTAGAGAGAGCCAGAGCCAGCATACGAAATAACATGCATGGCAGCTGGCTGGTATTTCCTGAGCACTCGCTGTGTACCACACACATTTTCTCATTACTTTGCAGTGATGCAGTGTTGCTGTTAAGAGTATGTCAGGAGGAAAAAAGTATGATTTGGTTGGTAATTGTGTCACCCTGGGCAAGTTACTTAACCTCTCTGCCTCGATTTCTCTATCATTGTGAGGATTAAATGTGTTATATTTAATAAAGTACTTAGAATAGTGCCTGGTTTGAAGTAAGTAGTAAATGCTGGCTATTTTTCTTATTATTTCTGAGGTGTAATCCCCTTACCTGACTATAGATACTACATAACGTGATGTGATGTCTGGTGGAACTAGTTCAGAATCTCAGGGCTCAGGGGTGGGAATACAGATGAAGTAAGATTGTTCACAGGAACTCTGGTGGTGCAGTGGTTGAGGCAATGGGCTGCTAACCAAAAGGTCAGCAGTTTGAACCCACTAGCCACTCCATGGGAGAAAGATGAGGCAGTCTGCTTCCATAAAGATTTATAGCCTTGGAAACCGTACAGGGCAGTTCCACTCTGTCCTGTACAGTCACTATGAGTCAGGATCAACTTGATGGCAGTGGGTTTTCAAGACTGTTCATTAATGAATCTTTGTACAAGCTGGGTGATAGGTACATGAGGTAGTCCTCTAACTGTTCTCTTGACTTTTGTATCTGACATTTTCCATGATAAAAAATTAAAATAAAAATTGGGAGGGGGAGATAACAGCATCGCACCTGTCAGTGATGAGGATGAGATGATGAGTATTGAGTGCTTAGCACAGCCTTGTGCATGGGAAGGACTCAGTATGTGGATGAGGAGTTAGGTGCCATCCACCCACCACTGCCTGCCTTTTACAAGGAATCCCTGGTGGTGAAAACAGTTAACACGCTTAACTGCTAACTGAAAGGTTGGAGGTTCAGGCCTACCCAGAGGTACCTTGGAAGAAAGGCCTGGTGCTCTACTTCTGAAAAATCAGACATTAAAAACCCTGGGGAGCACAGGTCCACTCTGACACATATGAGGTTGCCATGAGTCCAAGTCGACAGCTGGTTTTGGTACCATGATGGCTAGTTGTGGTTCTTGTGTTCTGTCTATATGTGGGCGTGGGTGTGAGTGTGTGGGTATGTGGGTGTGAGAGAATGAGAATAAATACACATAATACCTTAGAGAACATTTTTTGCACATAAACAGCTAATCTCTGGGGAATGAGGTGTTGAAGGGTTTCAGATCTTCTCCAAACCCTCTGAGCTCTCTCAGCTGGATCCTGGGGACCCACATCTCAGATGAACCACTTTAAGGAGAATTTGTCTCACATTTACAGTCCTCTTTGTAACTTGTTCCTAAGAAAAAAACAAAACAAGGCACAATGCCAGCTTCATCTGAGGTCCCTAGGCTGGCTCAAGTCTGTCAGAGAGTAAGCTTAGGAAATCACAATGACCAGAGGGTCCTTCTCTCAGGCAGAGCCCAGTGGACATGAACCATCTGGGGAAACGAGAAGACTGAATTCAGAGAAGGACTCTTCTCAATCTAAGGGAGTCAGAGTTATTTGCCAGTTTACAGTTTGCAGAGACCCTTTGTCTACTGATACTCAAAGCAACCTTGTGAACTAAGTATTAGATAACCTTTCTTGTAAAACAGTCCTACAGTTTTGTTGAACCTAAATCCCTTAGGCTTCAGTTTCATTTCCTCTGTGAAGTTAGAGGCCTGTTCTTGGTTGAATTCCCTGACTGCTCCTGGCAGGACTACTCATTGTTATGCCTAATCTTAGTACCTGGACCCAATTTGTCTGCCCTACATAAACTGCCTTAAAGCACAACCTGATGACCACAGGAATTTCCCTCCCTCCCTGAAAGGCCCCTCCTTGGATTCCCTTCCTCCTGCCTCTATCTCTAATCGCTCCATCCCTCCTTTATCTCAGAATCTCATCCTGGTACTTCTCAGCCCCTCCCCCAGCTTCCCCTTGCTGCTGCTCTCAGCTGGGACCCCACTATGCCTACCACTTCCCCCAAGGCAGGCTGGCCCCACCCTGTCTCAAGGTGCCTAACCACCTCCTGGAGTTAGTCTGTCCTTCCTGCTCCCAGTCAGCCCTTGTGACTCACTACAGTCACCTGAGTGGACTTTGTTTTCCCTTTATCATCAGTGGAGACAGAGATATGGAAAAGCATACATGGGACCTAGTGGGTTGTTTGAGTGCAACTGAAACAACTAGATGAAGCTCCCTGGGTTTGTAGGCCTGCATCAGACCCAGGGCCATCTGAGTGGGATGGAAGAGTTGCGAATGGACATGCTCTCTGAGCAGTGTCTTCTACTTCAGGGTTCTGGAGTCATCTTAGCCCAGAGTGAAACTTCAGGCTGGCTTTGTAGGTTGGCCCTGGAGCCTAACAATGATGAAATGTTATTATGGCAGGAAAAAAAAATGAGTCCTAGGTTCCAAATAACTGGCTTACCAAAAAGCATGTCCTCAGTGTGTAGCTCTTATTTCCTCGTTATCAACACCCCCGACTTCTGGAGTGAGATCCTGAGTTCCAAGAGTTTCTAAATTGGTAAGATTCACAGAATCAGACTACTGACCTTCCTCTCCCTGCTAGGACTGCAGAAGCACTTTGTCCTAAAGGGAAAGGTGGAGACAAGAGAAGAACTGATTATCTTTGGGGCAAATGTTAAATGTTAAATTCCAGGTGTTAAATGTTTACATTCATAATTTCATTTGATTCTCAGAACAGCTTTGAAAGGTAAGCAGTATAATTATCACTACTTTAGAGGTGAGGAAAATGACACTCAGAAGTGATGTAACTTGCCCAAGATTCCTCAGCTAGTAACTGGCCAAGCCCTACCTGTTGACCCAGGTCTACCATCTCTGTGCTTTTTCCTCCACACCCCAGGAGGGTGTAGGTGGACACAGTCCTGATGGAGTGCCTGACCCCATGGGACTTCTCATTCCAGGAGAGCCGAATCTACGCCGTGGCCACCTCTGGCATGCAGCTCTCAGACACTGCTCCAAGAAATAACACTGCCAGCTGTGGTGAGTCCAAGTGAAGTGCAAAAGGGGCAGATGCCCACAGTGGGCAGGGATGTTGTGAGAGGAGAAAACTGTGAGCAACATCTAGGGACAGGGTTACCTGGTATGCATTTCCCTTCCCAGCAGTGAAAGCACAAAGCAAGGATACCTTTCAGGGAAAAGAAGTCATGGAGGTTCAGCTCATTTCCTGCCAGGTGGAAGTGAGAAGAGGAGTAGTAGCCAGTCGAGAGCTGGAAGGCACCTTACAGGCGGCCTTCCAGTCCAGACTTCCACCTGCACAGGCTCCCTTCTGCAGTGCAAGGGCTGTGGATGGGAGCAGCACCACTGCAGGAGCCGCTTCCAGCCCAACCCACTGGCTAGCCACAGAATCCCCATACCCCCATAATTTGCCACTCCAGCAAAAGCAGGACCTAGTGCAAGCCTCATGGAGGATAAAGTGGTTACACGGCAAGGCTTTTTTTTGGGTTTTGTTGTAATGGGTCCGTTAATGCACTGGGATCATGGTCCCCTAATAGTAGTCAAAGGGAGTGGAAATGGGGGAGAGAAGTAGAAAAGGCCTTGGTCCCCACCCTGAGCTCATCATCCCCTCTAGTCCTGGAGTGCTTTTAGGGGAAGCTATATGCACTGATCTCCTCGCCCCCCCCCCCCCC